ATGTTGTTTTAAAAATTACCGTGCTTAGATAGAAGCAGCTTTATTTTGACATTTAAACAACAAAAATATATTTCGACGTTTGATAAAATCTTTAAAAAAATACAAATATATCTGATATTCATACAGTAATTTGATTTATTTTACTCGCTAAAAATATATATCTGATATTCATACAGTAATCTGATCTATTTTACTCGTTAAAAAATACAAATATATCTGATATTTATATAGTAATCTGATCTATTTTTCTCGTTAAAAATAGAAATATATCTAATGTTCATACATTAATCTGATCTATTTTACTCGTTAAAAAATACAAATATATCTGATATTCATACAGTAATCTGATCTATTTTACTCGTTAAAAAATGCAAATATATCTGATATTCATACAGTAATCTGATCTATTTTACTCTTTAAAAAATATAAATACATCTGATATTCATACAGTAATATGATCTATTTTTCTCGTTAAAAAATACAAATATATGTGATATTCATACAGTAATCTGATCTAGTTTACTCGTTAAAAAATATAAATATATCTGATCTTCATACTGTAATCCGATCTATTTTACTCGTTAAAAAATACAAAATTATTTGATATTCATACAGTAATCTGATAGATTTTACTTGGCTAAATTCTTCACAAAAACAAACTGATAACGAATAAGTGATGCAGAAGAAGATGACAAAGGTAGGCTTAGAATGTAATAAAAAGATAGAGAGAAAGAGACAGATTGAGAACGATGCTTACCAGGAATGTACGTACCTTCTCGCTGAGTTTGAGTAACTACGGCAGGTTGTGGAGTTAGGGCTTGGCCAAACTGACCAAAAGGAGTTGTATACGCAGCTACACAAAGAGAGATAATTTGAATTGTACAATACAAAGTTTTCTCTTTAAAATGACAAGGAAACATTTGTATAATTTAAGTCTACATATAAGTTAATGTGTGGTGTCAGTGTTGTGAAATGTAAAGTTTCATAGCTAAGTGTAATGTCTTTTTATTTGTTGTTATAGATTTGAGGCATTAAAAACTACTTATTTTTCCTTGTTTATTTCTGATCAGTTGTTCAAAGAAAAATGGCTGTAATAGTGGCGTGCAGAGGTGCGAAGATTTCTGAACAAACTCTTCGATTAGATTGCCCACGAGGTGCAATGTGATAATTGGAGGGTCGAAAATTATTTCATTAGGAAGCTACCCCAACGAAAAAAACTTATCTAATTAAAAATTCACATTTTAAATCATTTTTTAAAAGAACAGAAGTACTCCACTGAAAATACTCCATAATAAAGAATTATTATAGAGTATAAATAATTTTGGACTTTTTTTTTGCTTGTTTCAGTGAGCAACCGAAATGATCCGACCTGGTAAATGTACCCAGTAAAGGTTAGATCCACTGTTTGGAATGAAAAAAAACAAAACAACATACATACGTAAGAAAATATTCGTAATTTATTTTTCTTAAATGTTAAGAACATTTTATAGATGATTTCTCTTTAATGAATTAATGCCTCAAGTTTTCAACATTAAATGTATTTCAAAATTACATCATATCTTTAATAAACTGAATACTAATCTAAAAAAAGAAATTATTTCCCGATAAAAGTAACAGAAATGGAATTTTATTTCTTATAGCCGGCGTTGAATAGTTGACCCAGTTTTGAGTTTAAGACTACCAATGTTCAATTCCATAGAGTAGTAATTTTGAACCCTACCCAGAAGACAAAAAACTCATGAATCCAGACCTGAATCAGTCAGACAAAGACCTGAATCAGTCCTGAATCAGTCAGACAAAGACTTGAATCAGTCCTGAAAAAGACCTGAATCAGTCTGTCAAACTAGCCTTCGTGGTGGACGTTTTGAGGGAATTAACCCTCATTAGCGTCATATGGAGAGCACAAAAAATTCCTCGGTTGGCCAAAGGGCAAGGGAATTCTAATCCACGATTCTTTTACCACTGACGATATTTTTACGTCAGTGCTTGTTTAGTGCAAGTCGGGAACAGAACCCATATCGATCAGCCATCGCTGAGATTTGAACTTGGGGGACTTCAAGTTTTTCTGTCTGCAATTGTGGATTGGATGTCCCTTTAAGCTGGACGAAATATCTGTTGCTATTGCTCTCATGGTTCATTTCTGCACGTCACTAGGATGGAGAGTTTTGCAGGCGGTTTTAATCTCAGATCAACCTCGATATTTCTTTTGCTTTTCCTCACAAGTATGGTTCATTTAAAATAGGTAATATGGTTATTCGTTTTTTATTTAAGAAATACTGTACGGTTTACCAAAGCATATTTAGAAAATTATAAATGTTATGATTCTGTATGAACCCCTGGAGCATTTTATGCATGTGAGACTAAAAAAAATATTTCTTATGAGAGAAATCTCACACACACGATAATGCTCTCCTGCACATTGATTCGTTTCTTCAATGACATTGTCAACAATATTTGATTTGATTTTTTTCTAATGTCACTTAATATGTGACAAAGATTCATTTTAAGTTCAAGAGTTAGATAAATGTTCTGTTATAAATTTGAACCTCAATTTTGTCTTTATTTTGTTATCTAGTTTGACTAGTGTAAATTTCAAATTTAATCTGAACTTGTGTAAAGTGTCTGAGTTTTGTTTGTATTTTACAAAAAATTTTGTTGACTTACGTGTTAATATAAACTTACGTATTCCCGGGTAGGGCTGCAGGCTTGGATAGGCGGTGGGCTGCAATGCGTCCCCGTTTGGTATGGCTTGAGCTGCAAAGAAAAAAAAATCTTTTTAAATTAACATTTACTAACATTTTTTATTGCTCCTAACATGAAACCTTTAGTTAGTTCAAAAGCAAACCTGATCTATAACAGAAAATTTACTAAGATTTAAAAGGATGAAAAAAATAATTTAAAATAAACCAAAATTAATGTCGTTAATATTATTTCAGGATTCTAGTTAGTTTTCCTCCTTTTTTAATCTTCTGAGTCAGAATGCTTATTTTTCATACTTTTTTCATTATTTTGAATTAGTTTAGGTCAAAATAGGTGAAAAAAGTGAAAAATATTATACTCAGCATTGTGGTTATGAAATACAGCATGAAACGGTGTCTTTTTCTGAGTTAAAAGGAAACTTCTTCCAAAAGCGGCTCACTTCAAAATAATATTTTTTTTTAATTTTCACTTATTTACAGTTATTTAGATCTAATAGAAGCAGTCATTTATCATTCGAATTTCTTTAATTTAAAAAAATAAATTATTGATACAATTTTGAATATGAATGCAAATTTTTCTTTAAATACTACTTTTTTGGGTTTTATATTTTAGTACAAATTTAATTCCGATAATCGAACAGATTATTTTAATACCTATTATACTGTTTTTATATTTAAAAAAATACTTAAATATACTTTTGCTTATTATTGCAGAGTCAGAAAAAATATATGAAAAAGACACCGACTTCCCATCGGCGTCAAAGATTAAATATTCATTATGTTACTAAATTTTGTTTAAAAAAAACTATTATTACCCTTTAACTCAACTGGGAAAACTTTTCCAATGAGGTATATTACCAAAAATAATAAATAATTATCAAATGATTTACGTTGAAAGTTTCCATTTACTTATTAATTCATTATTTCCTTTATTGATTATTACTGATTACATGAACTCTTCGCTTAGTCTAAAAACTAGCCTAATATATGACCAAAAATCTACATAAGAAAAAAATAATCGTTAAGACGAAAAAAGATTATGAGGATGACAAATACTCATTTAAAATAAAGCAATATTAATGAAGTTAATATTTTATTAGATTCCTAAAGTTAACTCTCACTTCCTTGTTAATATTTATTTTCTTACTGACGAATTATATGCGTTTAAGGCTACTGTTACTCTTCCAGCCACACGGGAAATTTTTGCAATTAAATTAGGTATTTGATGTCGCGAATTGGCAACAGGCGTAATTTTCCTCACGGAGATCTTGAATCTCAAGGGGACCACCAGGTTGAGTCTTATTATTATTTTATTTTTTTATGGTTGGCTAGTGGTGATATTAAATACTGTTGAGAGTTTATGTCATCGAGAATTTTCTCTTAAAAGGGTTGCACATTTAACATAATAAATGTTACATCAAGTTAAAAAGTGACTCAATTATCTGTAGTAATTTACTTTTAAGTATATTTAAACGATTAATTGAACTTGATTGAATTTGTTCTTATGATCCTTGGCATTTTCTAATACATATTAAGCTGCTTCAAATTCTTTTATAACTCAACTGAATTTAATTCGAAATTTTCTGAACTCAATTTTTATTGAAATAATGCTATGGTCTTTGTACAGTTACAAATGTAGTATAAATACATATTGTTTTAGGAAAATATTTCCTAAATCAAAAAGTAAGTACAATCTAGTTTTTTACCAAAAAATTGAGTAATCTTACTTTAGGTTCTTGTAATTTTCTAAATTTCTTTTAGAAAAGTTAAAAATACTTCCTTATTTTGAATTGTAACAACAGCTACCAAGCAGATTCCTGTTCCTCAGTAATTGAACGAAATTATAAAGAATGACACAAAATGGATTTATAAGCAGGATTGATAAATCTAAGATGAACGCTACAAGAATACTTTCTAATTACAATTTATCAAGAACCAGATTTCCGTGAACAAACAGACTAGTTAGAGAGTTTAAATTTATCACTTGATTTATGTGTCTTATACAAAATGGATTCATAAATGGTATTGATAAATCTAAGATGAAAACACATTCTTTCTAAATACAATTTATCAAGAATCAGATTTCCGAGAGCTTGCAGACTAGTCAGAGAGTTTAAATTTATAACTTGATTTATGTGCCTTATACAAATTAAAGGTACGCTAATTTTTTAAATAGTACAAGCAAAATTTGTTACTACACTACTGGCCATTAAAATTGCTACACCAGGAAGGAGACACACCACGAACGTGAAATTTGCAGGACGGATAAAGCATGTTGGGGTATGCAAATGATTAACTTATCAGTGCATTTATGCAAAGCAGGTGGCGGTAGCGATACCTACAATGTGTACAAAAGAAGAGATTTGACAGTAAGTTTCATATACAGAAATTGAATTCGAGCGTTGTTCTTGTTTAAAAAAGTTTTGTTATGCCTCGTGTAAGAAGAAGAAATGTCTACCAGCATATGTCTGAGTTAGATCGAGGTCAAATTGTGGCCTACCGGGATTGCGGATTATCATACCGAAGTATTGCTGCTCGCGTTAGTCGAGATCCCATGACTGTTAGCAGAATATAGACTCGATGGGTTCATGACGGTTGTATGGAGAGATATCGTGGAGAGCGCCCATTGGCAGTTTGTATTCGACATCGTCATACTGTCCCATCACCTGGAGTAATGGTATGGTGTGTCATTGGATACACGTCTCGATCATCTCTTGTTCGCATTGCCGACACTTTGAGCTGTAGCCGTTGCATTTCTGATGTGTTAGGGCCAATTGCTCTGCCTTATATTCGAGGCCTCCATAACGCTACGTTTCAGCAGGACAATGCACGACCGCAAATTTCTCGCACTGTTCTGACCTTCCTTGACGCAGAACATGTTCGCCTGCTGCTTTGGCCAGCACGTTCTCCTGATCTCTCACCAATTGAAAACGTCTGGTCAATGGTTGCCGAACGACTGGCACGCCGCCACTCGTCAGTCACTACGGTCGATGAATTGTGGCATAATGTTGAAGCTGCATGGAATGCTGTAGCCGTCCATACTATCCAATCTCTGTTCGACTCGATGCCCAGGAGAATAACTGCTGTTATTGCTGCGAGGGGAGGTTGCGCTGAAGGCTGATTCCTCAGGATCTATATATACATCCAAATATCCTGAAACTTTAATCACTTGTTCTTCCAACTATAATGTATGTGCCCAATAAATATAATTCTGTTATTTGCCCTCCTTCCTGGTGTAGTAATTTTAATGGCCAGTATTGTATTTTATAGAAGATCAAAATTTTTACCACTTTCTGACTTAATTAATCAGACGCAAAAAAGGAAGCAAATAATAATATAAAATAATAAAATTTTATATCTACGTTTACTTTTTATTGCAAAATCAATTTTTACGAGAGTATGTTACGGAACAAATCTGATATACGGTAATTTTGACAATAATTATTACCGTAAAAATGACTGAATCACTCTAATTAAATAAATATTGCTATAAAATTTACGGTATAATATGTAACGATAAAAAAGGATGTTCCGGATGATGCAAAGATGAAAGGGACCGTACTTTATACCGTAATTTGATCCGGAATTTTTTTACAGTGTTGACTGAAAAGGGGAGAATTATTTTATTTTTGTCAGGACTTAAACAAAAATTGTAATGCACCTCACTTGCGTTATTAACTTCTACCAATACTGAAAGCCCCTCCCTTAGCTTTTGAGAGTTATGCAATCTACATTATTCGTTATAAGCTAGGCAAAAATAAAATTACTTTCTCCTTTAAAGCATACTTAAAAAAACATAGTTTTTAACCATTTCAATTTTATTATTACACAAAAACCCCCTCAAAAATGGACAGATAATTTGGTGAATAAATAGAAAATAAATAGAACCTATCAACTTCAAAATTGTCTGTGTTTACTTTTAAAACACATATTAAGAAATATAGGATTTGCCCCTAAAACCATATATTAACAGAATCTTAATTATTTTTAGAATTGAAATTTAAACCGCTTTTACTTTCATATTTTCAAGCTATATATGAATTATTTTTATTCCGCATTGGGAACAGTGTAGATTAATTTAAAATAAGTTGTACGATTTTAATGAAAAAAATGTTAAGAAAAAAAATCCATTTATCAAAAGGGATTTCAAGTAAGAAAGATTAATATTACTTTTCAAAGAAATTAATTTCACTCAACTGGACCATTTCTAATTTAAAAGAAATTAATTTTTTTTTTATTAATTCTTTCATCCTCTTAAAATTCAAATCTCTCCAACATCATTAAAAGAGCAATAATAATTTTCCCGAATGCCGGATACGGAAAAGGCAACTCTTAAGATTATAGAGGGCAGGTTTTTATTAATTATAGGGTATTACATTCCCTAGAAGAGGGAGGAACCTATCGTCTAAAAAGAAGTTTTTAATATTTTTTTTTATACGTATAGTTATTAGTTTCTGAGTTTTGGTTGAACGTAATTTCACAGATAAATGTGACTTGTATATGCTTTTTAATTTCATTACGAATAAATGGGATATTGAAAAAAATATCAAATTATTTTTTTCCCCCCAAATGGTAATGAAAGAAGATTAAAATTCAGTCAGGCATGTTTAAAAAATTATACCGTTTCGTAATAATTTTGGACTCGAGTTTATAGTTTAATTGTAAATTTAAATGAATTTTATTAGAAGAAGAGGAATATAAAAATTGATTTAATTTGCAGTACACTCTCCAAAGAAGTAAAAAAAAATTTAAAAACTGATTCAATTTAAGAAAATAATAATCTTTTTTTTAGTTTTAGTTTTGTTAAAAGGTTTCTATTATTTCATTTCATTTTGGCGAAAAAAAACACATTTCTATACAATTATTTACTAGAAGTTGAATACAATGGAATTAATGATAATAAAATTCCAACAATAAAAAGTGCAAAAATACTCATTTCATGCATAATAATAATCGGTTTTTTATCCAATAAATAGCTGATTTTATTGTGTTATATTACGTTCTTTGGTAAATTTATCGCATAAGAAATATTTAATTTTAAAGCAGAGCGCAATG